CTAGCTAAGCTAAGGGATAAAATCTACTTGTAAATACGTAACCATAATATATGTTCTCTAACGAGGTTTAACTATTACTCTAACGCATCTTCAAATAGTATCATTATTTTTTTTTAAGTTATATTTAATGTGGTAAATTTTCTATCGAGCACGTTGTCGAATCAACATTCTACTCTACGGTACCGTAYGTGATTGAGAATTGCCGTTCGATGGTACATTGCGCGTGGACAATAATATTTTTTAGATTTGCTTAGGTATGACGATCTAGTATTTAGATCCAAAAAAATGGAAACCGACAAGTTCACATGCGTTTCCCCGTACATCTTTCTAAACAAAATCGAATTCGAACGATTGATCCACAATAATTCAGATTTTACTTAGTGATCTTGTGATCAGAAATATTGATACTGACCAAAATCCCAACAACCATCACAAGGCACCAACATGCCTTGAAGTTTATTCGTGTCTTTGATTAACTYTGTGGCATGTATTGTACCTTCATATCTGTAGCTAGAGTATACTTTCTATATGCATGATGATACAAGTCGCCGAATGTTTTGCTTCTTTAAAAAAGGAGGGTAGCTAAACCGCTGACGCTTAGCACAAAAGTTATTTCCTCTACGACTGCAAATCTAATCGTAGCCTTGATTRAGTTCTTCTCGCTAAAAAGAAGAGYCATGGAAAAAGTCAAAAGCGAGCATATCGATGTCGAGAGATGCCGTTCCTATAAGGACATGTTGAATCCTACAGTTTCTGATGCAGTGGTAACCAATACTGCCTATGAGGAAAACGACGTAGCAGGATTTCCTTTWGAAGGAATAGAGGGATGCTCTATATCGACACCATGCTTTCCACCAGCTATACAACCATTTGTGTGTTCATACTCGCAGAAAAAGAAACAGCAAACAAGATCGACGCCATTTTCCATTATCAAAAGGAATCGCCATCGTTTTCTGACAGAACACTTGCTAGGAGYAAGCTGCTACCCTCCCTTACCTCGGAGAATGCCTTCGCCAAGGCKACGAACGCCGCTTTGTTCCCTTGGGAAAGTTGGGAAAGCGACAAAGAATGCGATTTCCCGYATGGCTGTCCTTCCGAAACGGGTAACTCGAACGATATGGTACGAGAGCATACATTTTGAAGGAGATCGAGCATCGACACAGAAATGTTTTGCTCACCGAAGGCTACTTATGATTCTGGCAAGAAATGCGACKATCGAAGGGRAAAAAGGTCACCGACACATCGTACATTTTCAGAACAATCCAAAGAGACACAGCACTATTACCAACCCAAAAGATGGTGTYGACAGTGAAACGATCTTTCGACAACTCAATGTGTTAAAAAAGGGAGGATATTGGAAGCATCTCCCACGGGAAGAAGGATACCGAGAAGGCATCCAGGGAGCGTATGAAGACGAAAGCACAATCAATAGACAAATACTTTCTCGAAAAGAAGATAACAAAGAAAATTTCCGACGACGTAATCATCCTAATGCAWACATACCACACAGTGTCGAAGACGAATTTCCAAGACATTCGAGCGACGAAGATGACGAATTCGAAGAAGACCTCTATAATTATGCAAGCATGACTTTAATTGGATTTGTTTTTAACAATCAGCTTGATGGCAACTCCGTTGGAATTTGTGTCCATGAAGTAACAGAAGAAGGTTGGATTTGTTCGGGGTTGAAAAACTACAACACTTATGACAATCGCTATGAGGACCAAAATCTTGCTAGCGRTAGGCACCGAGCACATTTACTTTTGCGTTTACCAAGTAAGGTAGCAGCTCTTGGACGACAAGGAATGTGTATCCAAGGCATTGGCTTGACGAGACGGAATAACAATGGAGTGTTGGAACCTTACAACCGATGTACGATTGTGAACATTGGGTTTTGAAGCATGCAAGAAYTGTTCTGATTCTTGTTCTCGTCGCTGTCATGAAAACGCGCCTCGGAGATTATATGAAGAAACATGCACTTTCCAAAAATGTTCCAAAAGCTGGAAGAAATATATGTGACTAGTATATTACCYGTTGATTTGAATCAACTGCGGAGATTGCGTGACATYGTKAAGTTTGAAATAAATGTTGTTTGTGACTTTTAATCTATTTTTAATGTATTGTAATTTTTATAACAAATAACGCAAGGTGAATAGAAAGCCTTTGTTCTGTGTAGAAACACACGTTTGTTTCGTTCTTTATGAAGTGTACTTCGTCGTATCTGGTAATTCAAGCTTATCGTAGAAAGCTCTGTATACGGTAGAAACGCACGTTTGTTTCGTTTTAGATGGACTGCACTTCGTATCTGGTAATTCAAGCTTATCAAAGAAAGTCTTAGAAATGCACATGTATTTTGTTYTTGATGGAGATATCTTTTGTGTACCGAAACTATTTGTTCACGGAATTCTTTGCTTCAGGTATTTTTTGGTTGACCCCTATTATTTTTTCAAAAGATAGCAGCATACATAGGGTTCTTTCCTTTGGCCTTTGTCGAAGCATTATTTTGTTTCGTTGTTGATTCCGATATCACTTTCTTCAATTTGTACGATTTGACCAGCACGTTCTTGACGTCTGTCATCTGCGGCCGACTCTTGATATTTGTTCCACCTCTCTCGTTTTCCTTCCCTCCRTTTGCTGCGCTGCCGCTGCGCATGCTTCGGCTTGAATCTGCATCGGTCTCGCTGTCATCAAAAGATGCAGCCGATAATTTCTCATACACCTCAGAAGGATCCATAGGGGCCTTTGTATTCGTGATCGACAGTCTTTTGAACTTACGGCGAGAGATATCACGGACGACGATCGGTCCTTCAAGCAAGCCACCTTCGACAGAGAGATATCTTTCCTTTGGTTTGTATTTCCCAGTGACACATTTYACTGTCTCCTCGTGGTTTTCCATTAGGATTTTGGCAACCTTCTTGGTCCTCTCCGCCATGAGGGTTCCCGCCGCAATGTCAGCTGCGCTTACGGTAACTCCCTTGACCACGATGCCACGAACCAGCGGTGCCAGAGCTGCAGAAGGGCCGGTCATCGTTCCAGCGGAAGCTGCTGATATGAGGCAGCCCGCTGCGAATGCGGCGGGTACGGCTGAAACCTTCAAGACGTTCCTGATACTRTCGCCCTTTGTCGGAAGTGATCTTTCGTCTCCGATCATAGCGTGAACCTTGTAAGAGAATTTCAGGCTCCCGCCTCCGGTTTGTTTGCGGGTCATATTAACGGCTTCTCCGGGATGGAGAGTACATTTGTTGAAGAATTTCCCTCGTTCAAGAAATACGACGATCTGGTACTTTGTGTTGTTCACGATCGTCGGTGAGTTTGGGGGGGATCGATCCATGGGCTTGGCTACCAGGGAATTTCTGCTTTCGTTTTGGTTTGACGACACCAAAGTCATCTTTGATTTCGATTTTGCCATTGTAATTTTAGCGGTATTGAGTGGTATGCCCGGACCTGTTTTCCTTCCGTTATCAAGAACGTTTGGGTTTTTCTTACAACATTTTTGTGGCGGGGTCAATACCAWAGGCGTTTTTTCAATTCGACTTCGTTATCGTGTCGTAATCCAACAGACCTATCGTACATTTCATGCCCTCTGTGCACTTATGTAGTTTCAGCGAAATAGGTTAGTCGTGTTTTAGCGACGCGATAGATTTACCTTCCGGATATTTCACGGTAGACAAACAGACTTCACGTAAGAACCAAAGCAGCTAGAAACCCACAGTACGTACGTAGTACTCGTAGTACTGCTACGTACCTTGGATCGGGATGTTCCGAAGCGAAGTACAGGTAGGAGTACGTGTACCGTTAGCCAGTACGAGACCTTTCAACAAAACGACTGCGCACGGTAGGTGGCTTCTTACAGAAAATGACTCGGAACTCGGAAGCTCTGCASCGTACTCGTACTCGTAGCAGTACCCTATTACAGTACGAGTTACTGTACAGAATTTACTTACTCTTACTGTACTACGGTACGAATGGTATGTATTGGTACTAGTACAGAAAAAAAAGAAAAAATACTCCTCGAATCTTCTGAGCGTTTTCATCGTATCTTTTTGTATCGTACCGTACGGTACGGTAAAGTCCATCAACGGTATCCCAGGGGTCGTTTATGTACTCTTGAAATGCTGAGGACTGGAGGGCACAACATTTACCACTGCTGTATCGTAATGTCATCCGGTATCGTATGTGCGATGAGCTGCAACAAGTTACCAATACAAAGAAAGTTCAAACGGCCCGGTCAAGAAAGCTCAGAGATGCGATGGATTGAGTCAAGATGCTATGACACACCTAGAAGTATTTTGGACGAGGTCAGATAGAGCAAAACTAAAATATTCTATAGRTTTTAAATGGGTCTATTGCAAAAACTCCAAAGGTTTACCACCATATGGATACAATACTAAGAGCTCATGCGTCCTATCTGCCCTACTACATTACAGCAATAGCTTTCTCATTGATTCCAACTTTCCTCAGTTGGTTGAGCATTTCTTCTTGTGTTCTGCCAACAMCTGCAACAAACTGATCCGGACGGACCAACAATATTTGTTGTGCCGTGAGCGCTTTCTCRGTAATCTTTGGAACCGAAACCTGTTCCTCGCTCTTTGCGGGAACAAGAAAAACAACTTTTGTTCCGATGACATTCGGTGAACGTGATGATAAGGATTCATGAGGGTTCAAAAAAACCCATGTGTGTTGAACTCGGTCTATGTGCGAATGAAGATTGGAACCATCCTCCAATCGAATGTTTGGAACGCGCTGTCCAGGGGAAACGATGCATGGTTTTTTCATATTTCCATCAAAGATAATGGAAGACGAACTTGGAGCGTACGCCGTTTCAAGCTGCCCCACCTTCCGAAAATTGTGATTCGCTCTCGTAGAGCGCAAACCAATGCGCATAAGTACCCCGCGAAGAAATTGCACAAATCTGCTCTTGGCATTCATAAGTTTGGTTGCCATCTCGACCGATCGGATCACGTTTTGACCCAGTGCGTGGCGCTCCGAATGGTATGATTCGAGAATTGTATCTACCGTAGAAGTGGTTTCGTCTTCCTCTTCCTCGTTGGATACAGCATCTAGAAAGCGTTTCGCCCACGCCAGCTTCCACAACAAATTGTTGGCATCCTGGATACCAAGATTCATACCCTGTCCTCCAATAGGACTGTGCACGTGGGATGCATCACCGGCAAGCATAACATTTCTATTTCGATAGGAATCGGAAGCACCATGAGTTACATGAAAGATGTTTTGCCATTTTCCAAGTTCTACATGGAACTTCCTCCCCGTTCGGTCGWATAACAGTTCTTCAAAGAATGTCGCATTCAGCTCTATCTGATCTGCACTCGTTACTCCCACGGGAGCCTTCCCAACGAAACGGTAGGAATTCCTTGTCGGTAGTGGCAACAAAGCGATCAGGCCCTTCCCGGTTGGAAATACATGGCCTCCCCTGCCCGATAGTTGATCTTCAAGAGGTAGATCACCTTTCAAGACTAAATCTGCAACGACAAAATACAAATCAGATTGGAGACGATTCATCTTGATTCCAACCAAATCACGGGTTTTGGAGCGTCCGCCATCAGCACCCAAAACCCACGTTGAAGTCACTATYTCTGTGGTGTCTCCATTCGAATTGCGAAGAATCGAAGTGACTAAGTTGCCTTCTTGTGACAAATTTTCAAGTGAAACACCATAATCTACTTGCCCTCCACATGCATTTAGGGTTTCCTCCAGTATGCGTTCAGTTTCGTATTGTGGTAGAAAGTACAAGCTGGGATAATTTGTATCACCCCATATGGTTCGTTTCACATTAGCATTCAAACAATCAAAACAATCATCACTGTCGTCATTCATATGATACCATTTCTCGAGGTAAATTTTAATTCCCTCAAGATTGAAAGCGGCATTCTCGATTTTTTCGGTAACAGCTCCATCTTGAATTGGTTCTAGTAATTCCATAACACGAGGGTGTACTACTAGGGCACGGCTGTCATGACTCGATCTCTTCTTCTTGCGGTCTATTATCCGAGCTGATAGGCCYAGCCGCCTTGCTTCCAATGCCGCCGTGAGTCCAACTCTGAAAAAACGAGAAAGGGGGGAGTTGTGTCAGAGAAGCATCTGAGTTTGGAATGCCAAGATGGGGAGGACATGAATGCAGACTTACGGCCCGGCCCCTACTATCAAAAGGTCAAGAGTTGTTTTATATGTATTCGAAGAATTCATTTTCAGTGATTGCATTGTTGTTTGCTCTARTTCAATGGTGTCTAAAATTTTCTTGTGGAGAAAAGAACTTCGCAGCGACCTTGACTCCGCTTTTGCTTTACTGTCACGCTCGCCTTCTAGATCTGTTCAATATCATGAGCAAACACTTCCATCAGGTCAGTACTCGTATCTTCCATTCGTGAAGAACAACTTCGTATCATGAATCATGAACATCGCCGAGCTTCGGCCGCGCGCGGACGAAAGTCATTCGTTATTACCTGGTAGTACCCAATTTTCAATTTTCTAACGTCATAGAAAACTTCGTATCATGAACATCGCCGAGAGTTGACTTGGTACATATTCCATTTTGTCACATCCTATTAAGTATTATTGTTGGGCAGGCCCCTGCGTTTTGGTCAAACAATAATACGAATTAATACCATACGTAAACTACAATACCGTACGGTAGGAATGATGTTGTATGAAAATGTTAGATGGAACGAGTTTCATAATAGCCTTGTATCACAAAAATGAGACTAAGCAATAGTTGCCTTTGACGTTAAATGAAACCTCGACTCATGTTCCATCCACGACTGGAACAGATCAAATAGCACCAGGGCCGTTTAGATCGACAAGAATTCAATTTATTTTTTCATTCTCCTGTCTCCATTTCCCCTCTCCCCCCCCCCTCCACACACAAAACGGTCCCTAAATATTTGTGTTTCTGGTCCTTAACCTGTGAAATAGTGGTATACTCCTTAGTGTCATATGAATACGTGTTTACAATAAAGAGTGAGGTTATTCACTAACTATTCGTGATTGTGGTGTTAATGTCTCACACCCA